CTTTGACGGAGGGAGAATAACACAGCTCAAAGTTGAAAAGGTGTTACTCAATCTCGGCTCTGCAGACTCTACAGTGAGAGCTGGAGGTTCGTAGGGCACACCACTGACAGGTGTTGAGAAAAGTCCCCCTGGTGTTTAATGTGATATAGCTTACAAGAGATCAATCGATCCACTGCGTATAATTTTAGTGATATTGGAGATACTTTTACTCTGGCTTTCATTCACTAATACCACCATGGAATATCTTTGCTTGTACAAACAGTCGACCCTTCTCCGTGAGTAGCAACCAAAGGGAAATTCCAAACCTTTGGCTATCGAAGCATGCCTTCATAAACCATGCATACCAGCGCCGCGAGAAATGTGGTCATATTTTGCCGAATTTAAACCAGTGACCTCCTGTCCTAAGTATGATATATATCCGAGCTGTCCAGAATCTACTTGGGAGATTGACCAAGATGATGTACCACCGCACCATCAGACCTTTGCCAAGGGCTATAGTGTTTAGTGGTCGAGGCCAAGGTGGAAATCGTGATTCGCCGCGTCACAATCAGGCTCTCGGGACGTTGGGACCTGACCTGTATAATACATGGATGATTTCTAAAATTGTTGTTACATTATATCATTGTCTTTTGTCAACCTATGACCATATAAGACATGCAGGTCCTCTCTGCCTACAGGTCAAGGACACTGACGCAAGTAGTTTATCCCCTCCGATGCCTCTAACAGCCCCCATCAAGGACAAAGACTGGACATCTGTCCATAATATTCTTCGCGGATCCAGAAGTGAATTATTATCCCAAAACCAAGGTCAGTCAAATTTCGCAGTACCGCAGTGGTTGGCCAACGAGGCAATGATTCAAGACTTTCCACCAAATCAATCTCTCAGTCCCAACGAGATCCATCTCCGCTGAAGCATGACTAAGTTTACGAGTACGACCTATAACATTCTCGTTTCAATGACCATACCTCTAGTCATTTCGTTCACCGGCCTTAATGGCCCCCGCACTCACGCCCGCCATAAAATGAGTACCCGCCAGAGGTGAAGTTTTGTGGTGTATAATCTAGAACGCATATTTTAAAGATGAGCGTGAGAGAAATCTGGACAAGCGGAGAGGATGACGATAGGGATGGGTGAAACATTGAAAGCTTTGAGATTTACAATTTTTAGAATGGGGTTTTTGACATTGAGCATTGTGCGATTCACGGCTTCGTTTTGGAGAACGCAGACGACACTCAACACAGTCACGCCTGAATGGTACAGTGGTCCAGCATCTGGTCTATTTTTTTGATATTGGATATCGCGGATAAGTATTGTACTTATACAGGAGGTTACTGGTCTAAATTCGGCAAAATATGACTACATTTTTTGCGGCGCTGATATACAAGGATGATGATAGGTTTGGAATTTCCCTTTGGTTGGCTCTCATGGAGGAGAGTCGACTGTTTGTGCAAGCAAAGATATCTCATGGTGGTATTAATGAATGAAATGCAGAAAAAAAGCATCACCAATTTCAAGAATTATCCAACAGATCCTAACGTCACTGATCATGTGTCATAGCTACATATTTTAATACACTTTAATGATAATAAAAATAGACCCCCTGACACATTCACAATCTCTAGTCTATCTGTTCTATCTAGCCCTAGTTATATCTCATCCCAGTAACTCCCCAACTCTTTCAGGTGTCGTTTTTTTCATTGAGTAGCCATGTATGGGTTTATGGCGATCAAGAAATTAAAAATAGAGATTCAGAAACAGGGATGTCCTAATATCAAGATCGGGATCCGACTCATAGGTAGAGCTACTCTTCTGGAACTATTGGAGGCCTGGCAGTGCAATCTCATATGCACCCAGGCGGGACACTACAAGCTTCGCATCTCCTTTCATTGCCGTCCAAAATTCACGCCTCAAGAAAATTTGGAGATAGTTGTGATATCCGAAGATACTGGTAAAACGTTGTTCACATTTTTGGCATCGTATTTGCGTCGTCTTTAACACCAGGAGATTGCGGGCTCAATGACAATTGACGTTCTCCTGCCTATCTCTGCGTTCAACCTTGGCTGTGCAAACTCTACAGTGAGAACTGGAGTTTGGAGGAGACACTTCTGGTGGGTGTTGAGACTTTGTTCCCCTGGCCTCTTGACAATGAATTTATTAGGCAGCCAAACTTGTCGCATTTGGCCAAAGAGTTATGAGGCTGTCGAGATCAGCGCTGACAATCAACGAAGTCTTCGTCCGCATCATCTCCATGTACGTAGTGTCAGCACGCTACCCTATCCGTAGAAATACTTCCCACGCCCTGAGATTCCTAGGAAGAGGGGTGGAGTCCGGGCACAACTGCGTGAGTTCTTTAGCGTCGGAAGATTATCGGGGAGATTTCTATTTTTGCTTTTAAGTGCGAGTGCGCAGGAGCTAGGTAGATGGAGACGCTATCCACTTTTATCGCGGCTGCTGATGGTAGACGTCAAATTCCTAATGTGTGTGGTTAATTCGGACGCGCTGTCTCGAGCCACCCTAGCCATGAGACTCGGACATCCAATGCTCTACGCCATGTACATTTTTATTCATGTTTGCGGCGCAGTATATCTTAATCCCTCAATAGTCCTTGAATCTGTCTTAGCTTGATGTTTCAGATAGCTTCGATCTTGAGCTGCAAGACTAAGATTTCCAGCTGATCCAGGGACAGGAGCGACACATGGATGACGTCAAAGCGCTCTACACCAGTGGGGAGCAGTCATGCGGCTCAATTCCTGTCTCTTCATCCGACAAAATGGCCGTGAGTGGTTGATGGTGTTGGCGAGAGCTCCGAGCGAAAAGGTAGACAGTGTGTGAATTGCAGAAATCCATTGGCTCCAACATGACATTCATCGGCAAGCCACTTCATGCACGTCATATGGATGTACAAATGATCTCGCACTTGAGAACAGAACGTTAGAGTAATATGTAGCAGTGCTCGAGGGACTAACCATGCCTCTGAGACACAGAATAGGACACTAGATTGATATGCTGTTTATTCAGGTTTGGTTCTAAATGATCTCGGGCTGGTGGCTGCGTTGACGCCTCACGCCCATATCATGCGCAACGCTCGGGCTCTTTGATCGGCAAATCTCTCACCAAATGTTGCGTAGTTTCATTGCAGGCTAATTGTCTTCCATGGAATACATTGATGTACGACTCGTGAAAGACCATTTGTATTTATTGGGAAACGTCACAACAGAAAAATGTCTATCTTGGGTAAGCCAGTAGTAATTGTTGTTAATGGCAAGGAAATCGATCTTGAATCCGTCGTTGATTGTGGCGGAGCGATAACGGCTAATAATGCTCGCACACAGCCCGGCAGATGTTCTACCAAACGGAAACGAGGGTGATCGGCAGAGTGACATAGCATGCCGACCCCAACATTCAGGTGGTCTAAGACAATATGGATTCTGTTTCCACTGCCGGCCTACCAAACAGTACTTACTTAAGCCCCCCCTCTATCTAGCACGGACTTAGGCTCATCTGTACCATCCTCTTTGACTGACCTTTGCTCCAGAATGTGTCCATCCAAACTTCGGATTTTCGGGCCGATAAGAAGTAAACGTGTCTCACCCGCCATTTTCAGCACGCTTGATCTCTACCCCCTACGTGGTTGTAAAACCGAGCTCCACAATGTTTTGGGCTCAACAAATAAAGTTGAATATGCTTAGTGTAGATCCATTGCAGTTGTCAACTCCTAGAAATCACAGTGAGAATTTGTTATGGACCGTGAGTCAGAGCAATTTATCCCGGCCTCTCGGCATCCGACAATTTCGGACCCAAGATAACTGTTGCCGTCGCCGCTGATAATAACAATCCATTGATGTCATTTATCAGTTGCCAACTTTGAAGGACAATTTATCTGTAAGTATTATACATTATTGGGTTGGATGGTGCAGTGGTACACCATCCGGGCCGTTCTCCCAAGTAGATACTGGGTAGCTTGAACACCTACCCCATTCGAGACAGGAGAAAGCTGGTTTGAATCCAGTGAGACCCATACACCACACTCTCTCGCGGTGATATCGTGCTTGTGGGATGATGAAAGCACAATCGGTTAGCCACAGGCTTTTCACGCTTTTCCCTGTGGTGGGTATGCACGGAAGTGGTTATACACCGTAAGGGTTATCCTCGAGTGGTATCTGCAAATGAAATCTGAGTGTGAGTGTTCTATTCGTCACATTGGGTCATCGTACTTAAAGTACATATCTTCCGATAAAAACCTGCATGGGCCTCAAGGCGCCAAATCAGGTAAAAATGAATTATGTATATTATACATTATTTGACCCAATTTGATATCTCTTTCAATAAATAATGGGTTCTCCGATCATGGTTCACTAGAGGGTCCGCTGCCGCAGTTCATACTATCTAAAAAGGCTAATATTCCCGATTATCATCTCCATACGAATAGAGCCTTTGTACTTTTAATCACTTGGTTACCATTTAAGCGACGTATTTTCAGGGTTTTTTAGCTGATCAGATTATAATATTTTGCTAGACTGGATAAATAATTCCATCATTTATTTCTGGCTAGTAGATCGTGATGGCTTACCCGGTTAGAATTTGAATATTTTCATAGATATCCTTGAGAATGGTTGTTTTTCATCCTTATAAGATTAGTCGCCGTCGAGGGAGAAATGGTTTCAAATAGTAAATTTTTCTAAAAATCAAGTCGAAAGTACAAAGCGGCTAATGACTTGTGAAATGTATATCCAATTTGCAAGGTCCACACAGAGTTATATGAGGTTGAAAACAATTGAGATCTAGGTAAACCGGATGCACCCAAACACCATGGCATCATAACGCTACTTTACGCCTATACCGAAGTTTACCTTGGCCATGAATTTATAATGTTCATGCAAAACCACTACCTACCAAGAGAAAATTACGCCTTCGCTTCTCATCATATACGAACCTTTTAAATCTTGAACAAGACTCATATAATTTGTTCAGTAGCTCTCTGAAAACTGTGTGTAAAAGATCAGATCGGTTTCAATATATGATGTCTCTTAAGCACACTCTCGAGGGCTTGTGTGTTGACAAATGCATCGTCAGGCAATTGATCAATAATATAAGTAAGATTAGCAAAAAGTTTGCCCTGCTCTTTGTAAGCCAGTATGGCGGGTACCCCAGCGTTATCGAATTCGATGTCCACATAATGTACGCGGACAAAGTGAATTGCTGGGTGATCAGAGACAATTGGTTTTAAAGCATCGGTAATGGCTTGCGAGACTGGACACTAGCGAAAATGTGAGCTAGAAAGCTCTGTGGTAAAATTAGACAGCCAAACATACCTCTGGATCATAGACAAATACAACGACAATCGTCTCTCGTGCAACCTTTTCTATAGCGTCTAAATATCCCATGGCGTCCACTTGGTCGAATCGCCCAAAACGTCTCATACTAGGACTCGTTCGTCGATTTCGAATATCACGTCCCATACCCTGAAGTTCCATGTGACGTTGTTGTCTCCACATCTTAATAAAGTCGTCATCGTCTGGATCACTGGCTCCTTCTTCATTTCGTAGCAGCGATGTTGCACTTGCACTATTCACAGTTACTTGATTCCGAGATGCGCCGGGATTCCCTCTTGATTCCACGTTTCGTTTTGCCTCCTCATATGACCTAGCGTCAGCAATTACGCCCTTCACTCCCGTCGTTCGTCCTCGGTCAAAGTCTCGGTGTGGAAGACACAACTGTCGGTTGCAGACTGACATTCGCATTGTCTTATCAATCGTGCTCCGTAGGTGCTGAACTTCCTCGCTATGCTCTTCGTCTTCGTGCTCGTATGCGTAGTCTTTAATATCGGCAGGATGATGTATAGATTTCTCACTAGAGGAAGCTTTGGAAACGAGGTTATTGAATTCTTCGGTTGCAGCTGAACATACCGCCATTACGAGGGCCTAAAGAAACTTAAATACGACGAGTAGGTAGTAAGGCTCTCGGTTTTGCAACTGTCGATGTTTCCGAGAGGGACCTTTGCAGTCAGCTGGGCTAACACTTGGCCGTAAACCTGGGCTGTGCGTCTGTAGCGAGCATGCGTAGAGCAGGGGAGGGGCTATTCTGGGATGATAAGTGACATACACTGAACTCTAGACATAGACAGGTCACTCATTTGAAAGGAGAGAAGGGTTTGCAGATCAGGCCGAATGCGTCCGTGCAGCTATGTGGAGCATTAATTGGCCTTTGCTAATACCTTTCAAACATGTTCACTTCCATTTTAGTGAGTCGTCAGAGTAAAAATAAATAATTCATAGTCTTGTCGAAAAGAAACATCTTTAGCACAGATGAACCTCAAATAAAGGCTATTTTAATGTGTTATACACTTACCTCGGTTTATGTAATTAAGTCATTTTACGTTAGACGGTGATCTTACAGTGTACTATTTTTACTACCAAGAATGCATCTAGTCTAAAACCTTTCAATTTCGAAATGTATTATATGCTAGACTCGCACCATTACACACTCAAAGCGTTCGAATCTTGTCGTGGGTACAAAGCAGACTTTATGTATCCAGATCTCTGTAATGTGCTTCTCAGCACTCTCAGAGATTTGCCATGGTTATATTGAGAATCATAGCGTTACATTGGTGTTTTTTGTCATGAACCATGATCTTCTGACCAAACGTAGATCATAGTTAGTGGAGGCACACCGTCATAGGTACATATTTATTATACAATGAAATTGTTAGCCCGATGAATATCTATCGTCCAGATTCACAAATAAAAAGATACACATAAATATCGCAGATTTGGCCCCGTACTCCTTCGTTCCAGTCAAAATTAGAATCTATCTACATACGTAACCAAACAGGTCTCAAGAGGCCTAATTCCCATCCAAACAATCCAGCCTTCGTGATGGATAGTAGCCTTCCGTGATTCAACTAAGATATAATACCATTTTGAGGTGATAATCTTTGTTTATGAGTTTGGGAAGAGTTGCTTAAATGTTTGGGTTCTTTTGAAATGTGAAAAGAACTAGATTTCCTAGGGGTTGATAATTATTAGGTAAGCATAAATTTCTTATTAGCAATAGTGCTCGCCTTGTCCCATGAAGATGTAGGTTGTGGTGGATGATATAACAAGGCCCAGGCCAAGATTCAAGCTTGTATCGAATACATTTGTGAAGTCGGGTAACGTACACCGTTTGATGAAGTATTGCTTAATTTCTGATTTTAAAGACGCCATTATTATGATATTGACGGCATCGTTCACAGATTATTAGGATAACGCGTTAGAAGTAAGATCTATTCCTTTGGATATGCCGTCTGTTTCTGGACAAGATATAAGTCCGCTTTTGTTATGGAATGCGTATTACATAGCCCATATTTTGAGCTGCATTGAAGTTGAAATTTTAGAAAATGTTGAAAATGTAGAGGGTTTGACTTACCAAAGAATCCCATGATCCAGTACATAAGCTCATACCGTCATTGCTTACGCCCAAGCAGCTGACTCTATTATCATGACCAACAAGTGAACCGACCTTTTCACCCCTAGTAATATCCCAAACCTAACGAGGTTAGATGGGATCCATGTAATCTTAGGATTCATAAACGCCTTACCTTGCATTCAAAATCGTCGTATCCAGCAAATAGAAGTCTGCCTGACACTGAAGTAGCGACAGAAGTAATACCACAGAGTATTGCTTCACTCTAAACTTTGTTAGATTCATAAATGAAGTTTTGGAAGGGGGCTCTTTACCCCATACTGATTTAGTTCCCTGTCAGCTCTAATGTCGAAAAGTCGACAAGTTGCATCATCAGATCCTGTGACAAACGAGTGACCGTCAGGAAAGAATTGTATCGCATTAATATCAGATTCGTGCCCCGCAAAGGTTTGCACGGCTTTCCCAGCTCGGATATCCCACAATTTAGCAAATGCATCACAAGCACCCGAAACAAAAGTATTTTGATTGGTAGGATTAATGCTGATGCTCATGACATCCCCTAGATGGTCTGCGAACTCAGTTACCTTGGAACCGGTTTCTACGTCCCATTTCATACAGGTCATATCTCCTGATGATGTTAATATGCTCCTGTCATTAATAAACCGACAACAAGAGAGGTATCCTGAGTGACCCGACAATTCTCGAGCGACACGGGTCGGGCCATCACGATTCGAGTTTAGATTGTATATAGAGCATATGTTGTCAAGACCGCCACAAGCAACATAGTTTCCACTTGGAGCGTAGGCACACGTCATAACCCAGGATGATCGTAGTGGTATGGCGTGGACTTTATTCGTTGTGTAGGCGTCCCAGATGATGAGCTTTCCGTCTTGTGACGCTGAGACAAGATGCCTTCTATCAGTCGACCAGTGCATTGCATAAATCTTTGCTAAGTGGCCCTTTAGCGTCTTTCGAGTCTTCATCATCTGATTTTTGGGTAGAGCTTCTTGCTGGGCCCTAGCGATTCCAGACACTAATTCGAGGTATCAGAGCTGACTTGGAGAATATGTAGAAACGAGTTGCGTGATAGTCAGCAACGAACTTACATGTGGCATCAGCTAATTCATCTTTCTTGCGCTTTATTCGATCCTTCAAATGTTCGGCTTCGCGTCGTGCCTGTTGGATACGCGCTTGCATTTGGTCAGGCGATACATCGTTGGCCATTACGATATGATATAATTTTAGCTATCTCTAACAAATGAAGTGGTTTGATTTGAAAGATAATTTAAAATGAGTGTATGAAAGTATTGGAGGGCCAAAGACCAGATCACAGCTGGTAGAAAGTTGTTGAGATTATAGCGAGCGGGCGACCGTTGGTCACAATGCTTGACTGTTTAAACTTAAGAAATAGGGTTTTCTGATATCCCTCGGTCAAGATGAAGAAAAGAAGATGATTTGAGCCTGGTAATCTGGAGGTAGAATGTCGTCAACGAAATGGGTCATGGAGTTACAGTATCTAAGGAAGGGGCGATTGCACGTTCTACTAACCTGTTGCCGGGCGCTTAAGCGAAAGGCAAAAAAGCGAAAAGCATTTCGACCCCTGGCCGCGCACTCACTAGTTGAACGTGATACCAATCGGACACGCAATTATAAAGGGTACTGGGATGAGGGACGAGATCACAATTGTTGTCTTATCAGGAGACGAAGCACACAGCATAATTCCTATCAATCATTAATTACAACAAATTGGGCTTCAGCAGGTATTACCATCACACATCCTGTAATCATTTGGGGGTTAAGAATGGGTCGCAACCATACTGCCCTCAGGTATCTGTGGCGTCCAAGCGGATCATGAGCTACTTGCCTGTAATTTACTCTCGAATCAAGTCACGATGCACAAAACCGTTACGATGTGAAGGCATGCTATAAATCTACCGAATTATAATGCTTGTCTAGTTTGGCAGGAGCCCCTACTTACTTCATTCTCCATCCAGGCAAGTTGAAGTTATCCTGCATAATCATATCTCTGCAATATAATTATTTTCGAGTTAATCTTTCAAGTCTCACATAGGAGGAAGAGTCGTGTACATAGACGACCGTTGCATCGCTGTGAAGGGACTGTTCCTTTGGTAACTTGTGCAGCATCCGACTCGTTGCAGAAAGAATTGAAATCGTCAGGTGAATGATTTAGGCGACATAATTCATGCACAATATTATTATGTACATTGTATAAATATATGCTAATTTAATTTGGCGTCGTGTACGCAGCAGCTTCGTCTACTTAACAGCTGCAGAGTCTGAGAGGTTCTCAACACCCACTGCAGCGGAATAATACTTTGTATTTGCACACATCTTGTGCGTATCTGAACGTTGGAATTATAATTAAATTGGATTAAATCCTTATTGGAGCCTCCAACGGGTTTAAGACTACGAGAGACTACTAAAACCAACATGATATGTAATTATTGTCTTGTTGATACGTCAATACATTCAGTTCAATTTATTTCTAATGGATTTAAAGGGTTTTGGGTATATAATTATTGTGCAACTTAAGTTTAAGACCATCTAGCACATGGGGCTTCTCTCTGACAGAGGTCACACCTTGTACAGTGCTCCGATTCTCTTTTGTTACTTGAACGATCTCTGATGTTTTGCCCATAATATATAGCCATTTAGTTTTTGAGAGTCTTATCGTGGCCTGAATAAGAATAAACAGGCAAAGGTTTATCTCGGTCGCAGCAAATATATCTACTGACACCTTTGATATCGATGACACAGTAGAATATACTGGGCGCATAAAACAAGTCTATTTCTTCATACAAATGTAACTGATGTTTTTTCAGTATAAACTATGAGCATGAGCCTTTTTTTAACGTTGACTCGCAGGAAATATCGAGAGGGTAGACTATTTTTTATAGCAAAATGCTCAATGTACTATCAGACAATGATATCAATATATAACTTCGTTGATAGCACAACTAAGCTACTATTCACACAGGATTTGAATCCAAAGAATCGTTGGAATTAATTTTGTGTTGTTGCTGTATTGCTGTCTGTCGCTTGAGATAGTTTATCAAGACGCACACTTGGATTAGGGCAAGTAAAAATCATGACCCAAAGGATGTTAACTTTTCTCAGATTCATTAAATTTCTTCATTAAAAATAACCTACCGTGGATCATAATTCCGTGTTATCCTGTAGATAACTAGTTTGGCAATAACTCTTATGCAGAGAATATATTTGTTACGGCGTGCGCTGAGGATACTGGAGATCGCTGTCTGCCGAAGGTATTGTCTTAATAACAATGGATAATAGGTACTGATGAAGGATACTTGGAGATAATCAAACCAGCGAGGTGTCAGATGTTCAAAGACTGGAGAGGCGAAGGGTATTCGAAAGGGAATAGTCAAGTAGTCAGGAAACCTGAGATCACTCGACGTACGAAGGGTGCAAGGACTAGTGAAGGACTGAGAATATTAGATTGTGAGAGTTTAAAATTGAAATATTAAATTATTGCTAGAATTGGAGATTAAAGATCAGAGGAATGAAATATTGAGAAGCTGGAGAGCCACTTTGTGGCAGCTCCAGCTCCATTAAGTGTAACTAAAGATTCTACAATCATTCCACTTAGACCAGCACAAGTTGTAGCCCTGACTCCAACCATGGCCTCGACAGGATCGATTCAAGCTGGCGCATTAACTTGGATGATAGTCTAGCCGTCACTGTCTCAGATTTGTTGAGAATCCGTTCCTTGGAACTTCACCATTAACCCTCCGCTTAAACACTGATTCAATAATGTCTCGCCGTAACAATCTTGATCTCCTAAATGAATGGCCTACGCAAGTTCCTACAATTAGTCCTACAACTATTGAGTATCAATGCCACCCACAAAATTATACATCTTATGAGCTCAGAGATCGGAAATCAAGTAGCTTTCATGTAACACAAGAGGCAAGGAGCACTGTATATTTATTATTTATTTATCCATTTATGTCCTATTTGAGTTTCCAATTATGTAGGACGGGCTCTTTAAATACAACTGTTCTATTTTATTCTAATTGGGACTTTTCTTCATTTGATGGTGAGATCCCCAAGGATCACTGTACAAAATGTGGCCTGTATCAGAGAGTAGCTCAACGTGCCAGATAGTCTAAGATTCAGATTTCGATTTAGATTTAAATTCTAGTCCTGAGTTCGTGACTATGAAGGACTATTATTGCTACCTAAACAATTTTAAAACTTTACAGTAAATTTGATGATGAATTTGATTATCTTCCAATGGATACTGAGTGTCAAGCCCTACGTGAAATCTTAGACTTAAACAGCACTATGCACAACTCACTCAGCCAAGGACCGCAAGTATTAAGTCTAAATCTTGTCTAAGAATAATAATAACAGTATATCTGAACTGAAGAGATCTGGGGAATTTCGTACATCAAAATTATCCATATACGGGTATTTACTGAGATAGATGGCTATCTATCAAAGGCAATATATTAGACATTTTTTTCGCAACGTAAGAAAATAGGAGTAATGCGTAAGGTGTAACCTAGGCTACCGAGGAGCCCTATGTGCAGGATAGTTGTTTGTTTATTAACGTGCTAGGCAAATGGGACCCTCCGCACTTCTATGAAAACTTGAGCACGAATGGAGCCGGGCTGTATCAGGTTAACTAGCATATGATTATAATAAACCTCGTCCCACCTCAGATTTCACGTATTTGTTGAATCATACCGAGCCCGACCGTCTAGAAACCCGCTGTATATACGCCGCAGCGCAAATTCATCTTGAGCCTCGATCACCACGCGCCCGAGCTCTTGATATCCCCAATGACTCTGAAATTTAAATGTCGTCCCAGATCTCATCGCTGATCTAGCCTTGCACCCTCACATCGAACTGTTTGGTTGTTGTCGTCTTTTGGGATCTGAACTCCCGCGCAAAAGTATGAACTCCTCGGAGAATATTCGCTTTTATTCCTCCTTTTTACACGTACCATTTCCATCATTACTTTTCCCGTTAGGGCGTACGATGAGTGCTCAGGTGGGTCGCAGTTGTTAGATCAACCAGGAAATGCTTCTTCAAAAATGTACAGGGCGTTTTAGAGATGTCAGTTGATTGAATACGACCCCCAGATGGACCTTGGTTCATTCGTGAGTCGTATGTTGGTGGTGATGAGTTCTTGTTAGACTTTCTTTCGGTTGTCAAATCTCTGTCGACTGATTTTTCGACCAAAATTCCGAGTACAACTCTTCATAACCGATAACAAAAACAATAACGCGCCCTTGTTCGTGACTGAATCTCGGTACTGGGAGAAAATTTCACTCCTAGGTTTGTAGATAATACCACTGACAGGTGTTCGGCCCTCGTCCTCCTGCAGGATAGTTGTTGACTTATGTATCAATGTGGAAACCAGATTCACACACGTACATAAGGCGGTGTAGTCCTTGTACCTGTCATGAATAGGATATGCCGGGTGTCTTAATCTAGCAAGGAATAGGGGTCTTGCGGGTGGTAAGGATATTGAGCCCGTCGCAAGGTCTTTCGTTACAAACGGTTAATATGACAATTTGTCCTACACAATCATAGACTCAGACAGGACAATAAAATGAATTAAAAATGACATTATTTATCACGTAGATCATTTCAACCTACGCGGCAAACGAATAGCAGTGTACTTACGCTGTCTGGAGCATTCAAACTAATTCAACATCTGCGTTTATTATCACATTGAGCCTTTGACTATACTATGAAGTGTAGGTGCTTTCGACCTACAGACCATGGTATCTGTGTCACTGGTAATGTTGTCCATCTTTTGCTTTCGTCACGGCTTCTTCCCAGCCGTAATACCGCCACAGATCTTTATTTTAGTCGCACTGAAAGGAGCTATTATCCCGCGAATATCTTTTCACTTCATCCCGTTCAAAATGTGGTGGAAATATAGCGCAATGAAACGGACGCAAAAATTATGGAACGAAAGTAGAAGTTGACTAAAAGAGCGTCATGTTCGAATTACAGCTAAAAGATTAGGAGAAGATGTGCGCTACAAGTACAAGTTTAAGTAACACAGACCTTAAGCCACAGTATAAACGAGTGTGGCGCCATCTAGGCATAGAAAAGCCCCTATAACCTCCTTGTGCCCACGCTATACAACTGCTAATGAATCTATAGATAGTCTGATGCGCTACCATATTACCTATTCCAACCTCTTAACTACCCTCAAGATCTTGTCGGGAACCTAGACGAAATGGAGGGCCCGTACGTCCATAACACTGTGTGTCTCCATTACACTGTGTGTCTCCATTTCTAACAAAATGCTTCGTTGCAAACATGTAAGGAGTTTTAGAGATGTTATTTGTTTGAATACGACCCCCAGACTTACCTAGGCCTAGGGGGACTATTCTCAACACCTGTCAGCGGTGTCTCCTACGAACCTCCAGCTCTCACTGTAGAGTCTGCAGAGCCGAGATTGAGTAACAAAGTCTTCACTTTGACGAGGATTCCCAACCGCTTTCGCGGTCTGTATTGTCTTCATCTCTCAACACATTCCCGTATCACCGTTATCATGAAGCTAATTACGATCAGATCAGATGGTTGGGTCGGAGCCCTACTCATCACCAACCCTTGATCATGGAGGAGATGCCATACGATAAGTTTCCGGGGCGTACCCAGCACCCGATACGGCGATGGTGGATTGGATCAAGTCGACCTCAACTGTTACAAAGAAGGGAGATATAGATGAACATGCGCACCTCATGTGGACCCGGTGTCTAGGCCTCTCCTGGATAGGGCTGCAGGTTTTTTGAGACTTTTCCCGCGCACGCAGTTTCCATTGCTACCATTTTATATTTGTTGGGTAGAAGGTTCCGTGGAAAAGGTGGCTGAATTCCGCGGGTAAATACTGAGCTGAATGGCTATTCATCAAGGGGAATATATCAATGATCTTTAAAGTAACAAGAGAGGATAGGAGCACTGTACAAGGTGTGGCCTGGGTCAGAGAGGAGCCCAATGTGCTAGATAGTCATAGACTCAAGTAGTACAATAAAAACACACACACAGTCCTAGGCCCATTCTTAAATCATGCACTGGTGGTGATGAGTTTTTGTTCGAATTTCTTACTGTTGTGAAATCTCTGCCAACTGAGTTTTCGAACAAAATATCGAGTACAACTCTTCTAAGCCGAAAATCCATCAAAAAAATTTATCCCACCCCATTTTGTGACTGAATCTCGGCTCTGGGAGAATATTTCACTCCCAGGTGTTCAGCCCAGACAACCAATAACGGGTAATCCCGCAACATTGCAAAATAAAAAATTACTGATCAAATCCAATCCTGTACTTCCTTCAAGTACTCAAGAGGGTGACAACTAGGAAACCGAGTAATACCTGTAGTCTTCGCTGGCTAGCGCAGGCAGCTCTCGACTTCTGATTATAGTTTGTAGGAAGATTCTGTGAAGGGAACCGAGTTGGTGTTGATGAAGTCGATTTATTGAATTATATGAGGAGAAAAGAGAACACCTGCAATTACTATCAGGTATTTATGAGAGTTGATCCTCCACGTAAATCTACAGAATGATGACTAATCCCTAGGCACAATAATTGCTATCCAGCTACGTATTGCCATGTGTCACTTGGTAGTTGTAACGCTTCATCCTCCTGACTAGTAGTGCCAACTTGTTCAACTTCATTTATCTATCCCCATGCATCCTCATCGTAGAAGTTCTTAATGTTACGCTCAGTTATCCGCCTAAGCTCTAACATTGGTCAAACAATCTCACTTCAAGACAGCTTTTAGCAGCCCTTCATAGCCAGAGACTCCGTAGGGACTTTAATTTTATGTTATTTGCACACTATTCTCGCCCGTGCTGCTTAAGGTTCAGCTGGGAGTCAAGCCACATTCCAAGCCATCTGTTAGCCTCTACGAATCAATTGAAAAATGTAAAAAGCGCTAAATGTTTCCTTGATTCCTGCTGCTCTATCTATTTCTATCTACATTATATATGTTCCGAAAAGATTATTTGCTGTGTGTTTCCAAACATGTCCCTTGAAAAAATCTAGACATATCTTAGATCAATGCATCTCATGAATGCATATGGGGTGAGATTGAGACCTTCACCTGGAATGTGAGACCTAACTTGTCCAATTATCTCGTGGGCCCGCCACTTACTGTTAAAGGCTCTGACATGGCTGAATCAAAGTTGATGTTGTATCCTTCTAACAGCCGAACGAATCTGTCTATTTGTAAAGGGTATTTGATCACTAGAATCATGTACAAGGCAGAGGTAGCCGCCAAGTACATATTTCCAAAATTTAAGTAATTGTGTACTCACAGCGAGGTAGCACCTACCAGCTGCTCAGATTTCGCCCGATTGTGTTTTCTGAGTGTCGAAATTGGGACGAGACCGAATACAATGGATACGGTGCTGAGGTCATATCTACTAATGTGATTCCCCACACGGAATGTGTCTCTATTTTTATACACCGCCGACTTAAGAAAAGGTGTCCTGTGAACTCTTGCTGACGACAGGCGCAGGTGTGAAGACCATTAAATTCCAGTGTCATATCTGCTTAATCAAATCACTAATATCATTTTGCGAAAAGTTACCCGGGAACCTCAGGTCGCACATACACTCCACACGGTGTCAACCACAAGGTTATATCGTTACACGTGATGATCTAGAACGATTGAGGTTGCTGCTGTGTGAAGAAGCGCGACTTGGGTCAGTCACTCAATTTAATGAGTGAAAGATAATCAACATTTCTCATCCACTCGCTCATCGATATGGCGAGTGATATAAAGTTCGAAGCGCCTGTTGCCCCTAGACTTATATTATGGCTTATAGACACTCGATCCCTTTGGCCAGTCACTCCTGAGGCCAGCCCACATGATGAAGTCATGAAGCTTCCAAAAGTCGTAGGTCTTCCACTTAAACTAGAACAAATCATAATAACTCAGAATCAAGGCCTTTCGGGCATTCAAACTTCTCTCACAAACTGAAAGAGAATCTGTACTGAAATATCATCATCTCAAAGATGCAAAAATGAGCCTCGCCTCACATCTTCTCAAGCATCTTGTAATCACTAAATACCTTGGCGTACCATGGTCCCGAAGCCAGATTTCTCGTAGTGTTCATGGGAAACCGTGCTACTTACATGATCCTGCACAAGCTCACATCGATTTTAACGTCAGCCATCAAGCAGGCCTAGTATCACTAATTGCGTTGATTGGATATGATAAGAGCGTTCAGGTCGGAACAGACATTGTATGTACGGACGAGAGAAGACGCACAGATTATGAGTTTATTGATAGGGAGGGGTTCTCTGCTTGGGTTGATATATATGAAGATGTATTTGCGGACTCGGAATTAAAGCATCTACGGTCGAGTCTTCGAAACCTGGAAGATGTTGGAGTCCATCTCAAGGGGGCAGAATTGACTGAGCCCGGAAGAATAGCATTATCGGAATGTCAGCGAAGGAATGAAAAAGTCAGCTTAGGGATTGTTACTGCAGAGGGAATCTCAAGGGAAATTCAGGTCAAAAGTGACATCATAATTGAGTGTAAGCTAAGACGTTTTTATGCGCTATGGTGCGTTAGAGAGGCATTTATCAAGATGACTGGCGAGGCCTTCTTTGCCCCTTGGCTCAAGGATTTGGAATTTGTTCAAGTAGAAGCACCCAAACCGAGACCAGATGTTACCAGCATAGAGAATGGAGATTCGATAAAAGATTTTGAGATATTTCGCAGAAGTAGCCCTTCAAAAGTTCCCCACATGGTTAAAAATGTCAAGATGAGCTTGGTTGCACTTGGAAAAAATTTCATGATTGCTGGAGCAATTTGCACGCCAAATGGTGTGCCAGAATCAGATTTTGCAAAAGAAAACTGGCGGTTCTTGGAACTTGAATCAGATATCTTAAGCGTAGCAGAAACAAGTCAATAACTTCATCAACCAACTGTCTGGCTCTACCGACAAAATTTAGCAACTACATACAAGTAAACTTTACTTATTACCCTGAGGCGCTCGATATCCTTTTTCTGAATAAAATACTAGAGCTGTAATTATTGAATAAAAAAGAGTCTGGAGCATGTGCATTCCTCGACCAAAATCAGTGACTTTCGATCAAATATTCTAAGCTCAACTGCAAAATTCTTCAAATTCCCTAATGTGGAGAACGAAGGGCCAAAGCCTATGTTATGAATCTACTTATTGGCAGATTTTCAAAGCTGTTAAGCTGCAGAGGTCGAGTCGATTTTGACGAAGATAAATTATCGAAGGTTTGAGGCTACAAAGTAACGAAGGTGCGAATGTGCGAAGGTGCAAATGAAGGTAATCGAGGCTCAAATTATCAAAGGTTACGAATTCAAATGTTCAGATTATCATGTTATCAAAGTATCGAGTTCCCAATAAGCAAATTATACAATAAACAAAATAAGTTGTTAGAACTAAAGAGCTAATCCAAATTTCTAGCCTGAACAAATCTAAATCCCGTTGCCTCAGACCTAACCGAATTAAGAAGATAACCCCTGCATTACCACATCCAGGTTATACCTAACAAATTCATAACAGCCTATCAGTAGTGTCTTTTACGAACCTATGAGTTAAATATTTTGTTAGAGGTAGGACTTGTCATGAATGCGCTTTTCACATTAGTCGTAAATTGTCATCCACATAGTGTAGCATGCAGTGCCAGGGAAATGGAAACAGGTTAGTGATAAATTAGATACCACCAATCGCTACACTCACCCATAGATCACTCCTAAAAGAGACTAGCTACGGCGCTATCTGGAAGTATTTGGGTGTGGGTTTTGATTGATCACAATTGAAACAGGATGGTGACAAATATAACTCGTGGCTCTACTACAGCTAGTTCTGCAGAATGCAATAGTTAAGCTTGAGTTCTAATAAATTTTGTCTATTTTTCCTCCTAACTCCCAACTCCGAAATCTACACTTTGTGCATAGCTTACTAATTATAGGCTAACCGCATTTAGTAGTCTATGTTACATAACGTAGCCTGCTACGTTTAGGATCCACATGGGATTGGTTAATTATCATGTAGATAACCTGCAACACAAATAACACAAATAACACAAATAACACAAATAACACAAATAACACAAATAACACAAATAACACAAATAACAAAGAAACATCATTTTTGCCAGAAAGCTGCGCAGCGTTCCACGCTGCCCGTATCATCAATTTGACATCGTGATTCTTATTTTTACATCTTTATTACCCTCCTCCCATCTTTTCGCTTTCCGTGCTCCAACATGGCGGGTGTGGGTGCTGGTGTGGGTAAATCCAGCGGATTCGACGCGTCGCAAAATGCGACAATGGCCCCAACAAATAACGGCAGCGGAGCGCAAACAGCTCCAAAGGATAAGAACCTTGAAATTTTAGGGAAACTATTGAAAAAGGTTAGACTAATCGTGATGGGAGAGGGGGATGAGGAGGACCTACCCTCAATGGAGGACGTGAACGAGGCCGTCAAGGCCTTCAACGCGCACAAAAGGGCCTGGACGGAAATGTCCCAGAAGAAGTCTCCTATCGAGGAGAGGATGATGGCGCTCGAGGAGGTTGTCAAAAAGAGCCTCGCGGATCCTGCTCGAAAAGCTGCACCAGCAGTGGTTTCGGGCGCGCCGACACAAAGGAGCTACGCGTTGGTCGTGGCTCCGCAAATGACGAAAACAGCGGTTAGGATAAGAATCGATGGCGCACAAAACCTGCAGCCACAAGAGCTGCTGTCAAAGGCACAACTACACATCGAAGGCGCATTTGCAATTCGACAGATGCGTAGCAACGACACCGAGGTGTTTGTCCAGTCGGCGTCCCAGAGAGACGCGGCGCTTAATATGCGGCAACCAACAGACTTTAAAATTTTGCGGCAAGACTTTCCTGTCGAGGTTTCCGGAGTCCCACTGCAGACAAGAATTGAGGGTGGCAGAGATGCCAACAACTACGCCATCATCAGGGAGATTGAGACGGCGACCAAGGCACGTATTCCAGGCCTGGTTATTAGCAGAATACGATGGCTACATGATGGAAAGGAACATCAGCGATCAAAGAAAAACGGTCGCAATCGTGGTTCAATTGTGGTCAGCCTCCCATCGGAGGCAATGTAAACGGAGGTAGTGCGACAGGGCCTTGTTATCAACGCCATGCTCTTCACCGCGCAGGTATGGTCGCCACGGGCTCAGCCAAAGCAGTGTTACAACTGCAGCCAATGGGGACACACGCAGGCGTCGTGTGGAAAGGCAGCCAGGTGCGGTGAGTGCGCTGGCGCTCACCAAACTCGGGACTGTCCGAGGAAAAGGGTTTCTTGTGCCAACTGCGGCAAGGAACATCGTTCGTGGCAGAAAGCAGCGTGTCGGACCTACCAGGTCTACAAGGGAAGTGTGGAGAAGGCTCGGATGGAGCTGTTATCGAGAACGGCAGATATTTGGAATGAAAAACCAACAATGGCGCCAACACAAACAGTCAGACCAACTGATGATCAGGGATTTACTTTGGTCACCAGTAAAAAGGCTGATGGACTCAAAAGAGGGCCAGGACGACCGCGTAAGGTAGTCGAAGTCCCAGCGGCACCAATAATCGCCTCGACAGCAGCACCGCCATCGGGACCTACTCTTCGAACACTTCGAAGACCAACGCCGAGTGAGGAGGTGCCTTCTCTTTTCAATTTTTCATAACGATAGTCTGATTGAAGGGGGAGTTAACGAATTCTGGGGAAAGTTTATAAAATTGCGGTTGAAAGGAACGTCCTCAGCATTAAGCTGGGTCGGTTCAAAGTGGCAGGACATCGGGTTTTGTTTGTTGAAAGCTTTTTCCCTTACCAAAGCGGCTTACCGTCTTCATGGTTCTGTATATAGATATCGCATAGGACGTTAAACTAGATCAATGAATGAATGAACACAAATAACACAAATAACACAAATTACTGCAAAATATTGTCAACCTCAAACTTCAAGAAAATGAGAACGTAGCCGTCCACTTAAATAACTTTACCAATGCATGCAATCATCTTTACCAAAGGTCACTTACCTCCAAATCCAGCGTTGCACAGGCATTTCGAAATTTTACCTCATCTGATGAAGTCAAAGGCGCGTTCTTACTACTCTCACTCCCAAAATCCATGGACAACCTTGTCAACAACCTTGCAACAAAAGACTTGATCAAATACCAGGACACACAACCAAAGCTCTTGGACTTCTCCGCTGATAGGAATGTCGGTGAAGCTGACAGCAAAGCCTATCACGCATTGACCCAAGAGGCAACAGAATGTTCATGGTGCAAAATTAAGAAGTTTAATTACAAGGGGCACACCTACAAGAATTGTTTCAAACTTAAGAAACATAAAGAGCAACAGAAGGAAGCCGAGGCAAAGAAGAAGTGCGCTTCACAAAATGAAAATGCCAAAAGAGTCTCAGAACTAGATGACAAACTTTCAGACAGGGCTTTCTTGGCCAACTCTTCTTCATCCACTCGAAAAGAATGGATCCTTGATACAGGTGCCACCACTCACATGACTGGCTGCATCGACAACTTTGAATCAGTTACACCCCTACAAAATAAAACTGTACGAGTCGCCAATAACAACTACACCCCAGTCACTGGCAAAGGTACCGTTCGTCTTCGCGCTTTAACCAGCGGCGGGCGATCGCGAAATATTCTTCTACACAATGTTCTTCTGGTGCCCTCTTTTGGACAGACTAGGTTGTTATCATGGGAAAAATTAAGGGAGATGAGGTATGAATTATTTTCTAAAGGCAACAATACATTCATAAGGGATAAAAACGGGCAAGAGGTTCTGTGGGCGACAGTGTTGAAATACAGGGCTAATCCTAGTAATCAGGATTAACATGTGTCCTTTATGATGTTTAGACCCACTACTGTAGTATATATGTAGCGAAGCTCCCCGAGCCCTTAATAGAAATAAGTTGAACCAGTATATTCTTTTTATAGGTTATGAGCCCGGTGATTACGCTGCTAGCGCAATATTGAAGATATACTTTATTACACTCACAACAAAAATCCACCATGTCTACAAAGTCATCGAAGTATGGTGGTACAAAACTGACTGGAGAGGACAGCTTTGACAACTGGAAGAACGATTTGGAAGACAGTCTAGTTGTTGGCGGTCAAATCAACCTGATCGAAGCGAAAAGGGTCCCTGAGAAGAGCCTGGATGGGGAGATTGATGCAGCGGCTCGATCTGCAACGAGGTTATTACATGCGCAGGTATCTCTAAAGATAAGTCAGAGCGTCGATGAGAATCATCGATCAATAATTGGTGCTTTTAAGCATCCACAAGACAAGTACAACGCCTTGATATCGAAGTACAAAGGAAACAATGAGACACGATCTCACCTCCTGGTAACGAAATTCACAGAAATCACAGAGGGTAAGTCGATGGGCATCCATGAGAAAGTCGAATTGATGAGATAGCTGCGAGCACAAGTCTTGAAGATCAAACCGAAGAACAATATTCCTGAATGGCTCATGATTCATACTTTGAAGTTGAGCGTTGATGCGGAGCAATACGAGAAGACCCTCCAAGTAATCAACCAAAGCACTGTGGAGTTAGAATTTGACGACATAATCTCCCGGTTGGCATCTAGGGAAACAGAGCTTACTTCTAATATTGCAACAGCAAACTGGGCAGGGAGAAGACAAGGAGGCTGCCATGTGAGAGGCAAGGAGGAACACCACAGCAATGACACTACTAACATCACTGACTTCAATTTAACTCCAAAGATCTCTACGAATGCTAAGCTCCTAGCTGGAGGAGGTAGTTTCTCTTGTGGAGGGCCGCACTTCCAGAATAAATGTCCAGTGTGGTTGAAAACGTCGGCAGGAAAAGCTTGGTTGGTTTCCCAAGTGCCTAGGAAGGAAAACGCAAAAGTAGCAAAGGTCTTGGATAGTGATACGGAATCTAAT